CAGGAACCAGGAGTGTTTAACTTGGATGAGGTTAGGCTGAAACATATGATCTCTCCTCTTGCCAAGCACAAACGTCAGCTGCAAATGAGCTCCAAATGCCGCGCCAAAGCCTGCACAAATGTGCCATCGCTGGGACTTACAATTTTAGGCAACTGCAAGGAATAGTAAGCAAAGGCTTGTGCCTTGTTTCTGAGCTGCTTTATTTCAAAATACTGCAAATTCTAACATAGATTCAAGCCACGTATTTCAAACTGCAGCTTCTGCAGTGAACGTCACAGGACACACACAAAACAGACAATTTCTGGGTTTTTCCTGAGGAGAAAGACTAGAGGGCTTCACTGAGCCCTCCTTATCTTCACTGTCTTCATCTTTTTGTGAAAAACTCAGAGAAAAGTGAAAAAGAAAAGTCCTGCACTTCAGCGCAGTCAGGCAGTAATGAGAAAGGTTTCCCCAACACGCAGAGAGGCCCCAACACAATGCAACAGAAAGCCCAACAATTAAACAGTGGTCCAAACTGCACGATTTTTGTGAAATCTAAAGGTTACAAGATGGTTACCTAACCAGAAAAACTTCAGCACAATTCATCAGTTGTCTCTGTTCACCCACGGCTACGCCGCTCTGCCGCAGGCCGGGGGACACGCTGCTGTAACCCCTTTTCCCGTTGACTCCAATGGCTCCCGCGGCTGCAAGGGGAATGTCAGGAGCCGGAGTGCAAGGCAGGACTCCACCATGCAGAGTGCTGCCAGGGGGGCCAGAGCCTCACTGCGATCTGCTACCTTTGCGCAGGGTCTTACTGACTTATTTGCTAGTGACCAGAGAAAGTTTCCTTAACAAAGGCCCTTTTTCCTCCTCCACATTTTCTCCCTACTTGAATCTGAAAAGGTAACACGGGAACAAGGTTTAAAAGTCCTCTGAAAGTCTCTTTAACAAAGTGCAAAGGACCTAATATCCATTAAAATATTTTCCCCAAACTTCAGCATCCATGTTGCTGAAATAGATGCCCTAAACAGCTCGCTGTGCCGACCACGTTCCTCATCAGCTGCCATGCCACACAGCCTGTGCTTGGGATATTTCTGTTTGTTTTAATATCTGCCTTAATTTTGAATGGCGACTACCTGCACTGCAGCAATCAGCCCTTTGATCCACAATTCCCTCGTGCCTTCTCAGCGCTTGCAATTGAGTCACACTGTCCCTGTCTTACGCCATTGTGTCATAAAGAAAAACTGCCACAGCTGCGTCCCTGGGATCTTTTCTGCAAATAAGTTAATTAGCTGCAGTGGAGGGAGAAAAATATGTTCCAATGTTCATTAGTTATTTAACAACACAAGTTGTGTTTTCCAATATTAATAACATGTTCTGGATAAAGGCCATTGCCAAAATACCGGCCATAAATGGCACTGTTTGCTGTCTTCAGCTAGAAGTGCTTTATATTTCTAAACAGCTCATCATTAAGGTTCTGACCCAGCAGAGGAGCCAGATCAGAAACCGAGTGACCCATGTTAAGCACAGGCTCAGGCCCTCCTGAAGTCGAGGAGGCCAAAACAGAAGCCCAGCGCACAGGGTGAAGCAGAGATGCTCATGACCATAGGTGAAAGCCTGCTGAAGATGCCAGCCCCCTCCTCTTTGGATGGAGCCTATGGTACAACCTAAGGGACACCCATGGTGTAAGGTCTGAGAAAGGGACAAATCCATCAGACCGATGGACGCTAACCTCCATCTTCCTGGTCTTTTAAAGGAGCATGAAAGCAAATAAGTCCTTTTCAGAGGATTTCTACGGTGTGATACAGAGCAACGTATCAATGCATTTCTACCATGTGATACACTCAACGATTTCTACAGCGCGACACTCACGGAAAACACCCGCTAACCACGGAGGTATGGCCTCCCCCATCGCAGAGCTCCCAAAGGAAAGGGAGAATTTCCTCCAGCCAATTCATGTCCTGCTACACAGGGAACGATGACTATTGTTGTTATTTGTAACCTGGGTAATGTATCTGTAGATATTATTCTAACTAATACAATTCATTTCACAGTTATTAATCCTCTTTCATAATACCTTGTGACAAAGAATTGCACCGGTTCACATCACAGCACTTCTATGGACTTCAACGTGCTGCCTTCAGCTATAGCCGGTGACCCTGCATTATGGCAAACAAAGCCCATACATCAAATAGCCCATTGTTAGTGCCATACACCAAATCGCACATCGTTGCCAGAGCTTACAGAAAACACTACCAGAACGGTGCTCTGGGGTTACTGTTTTTCTTACCCTAATATTTTGGCCTGACTTCTTCAGATAGGAATGCATATAATACAGAAAGGGACTCGTGAGCAGAGGAACAAAGAACCTCCTTTACGGGCTCCAACTTGATATGTGTCTGCTGGAGTCTGTAAGCAGGTATCAAAAGAATGAAGCTGGCTTTAATTCACAGCTAAATTATTTCTGTGCAAAATTGTTCACTAGCAACTCCTACTTCAGAACGTAAGTCATCTACTTCCTTTTTAATTAAAATGAGCATGGGTTTTGGGTTTAGTTCTTTCCACACAGAGTCCACAGGGTGACTTGCATCAGAACAGCAACAAGGCTGAATTAAAATTAATCTAGTTATTTTGGCTTAAGTTTGAGACAGTGAATGCCTCAGAAGCCTGTAAAAAATTATATCGTTTCCACACAGTGCACAATTCCCCTCTGAAAGGCTTAAAAAGCAGCCTAGCCAGGGCACAGATGTACTATAGATACAAGGCTTGGCCATAGGCAAGATAAACGACTTCCTTGCATTGACAGCAGACAAATGATGTTTTACAAGAAGCAGCTTGGTGTTCTTTGAGCCAGGGGTCCTTATTCTGTATCTGATATTGTCAGCAGCCAGAGTTATTGAACGTGCTGCTCTTGGGTACCCAACATGTTGCAATGAACACACCAGCTCCAGGTCAGTCGTGAAGACTGACAACCACAACACCACCAGCATGCTGGATCAACCTGCAAGCCAAGTATGCAGTTAAGCCTGTTTTACCTGATGTCTCAAGGACAGAAGACTATTGACTGGAGGGGAGGTGGTTTGCACTAAACAGATCTAAGATGATCTTGTTTGCCCGACAGGGCCTGCTTTTTCTTCATGTTTCATCATTGTATCCGAAATAAGCGTCTCTTCCCTGCTCCTTCCCAGCCGGATGACACAGTTGGTTTGTTATCTTAGCAGCAAGGTCAGTTCAAAGAAAACACAAAGCTCTTCCAGCCGTTCTAGTCTGCTTCACCATTCAAACACATTCTGCTCAGCATGTGGGAGCAAAGCACTGAATGAGGGGAAATCTCAGCTCCAGTGAAGATGAGTTTTGCCACAGACTCAGCGGGAGCAAAATTACTCTCAATGCTCTTCCTTGGCCAAACTGATCCTCAAACTGACCTAACCATGTCCCTCAGGAGACGCTCCTGTCCCATGTTTGGGTTCTGAGTACACTGGTCCACAGGTATTAAGGTCAGACCAGCCCTCGCGAGCCTTTCCTTGTTTTGCATCTGCCATGCTGCTGTTGTAATTAATCTTAATTAGTCACCACCACTAACACAGCTTGTGACATTCAACCATCAACAACGCACTCCCAAATCTCACACAGGCTTTTTAATCCAACCTGGCTGTCCACCCACACTGCAGGTCTCAAAAACTGAATCCTTCAACAACCAATGCAGAAACAAACCTGTTAAGAGAAGACTTATGGTGGAAATTTCAAATAATATCATTCATGCTCTGTTGTTTAAGCCTATTTTTCAAAAAGATGGAATAAAATGATTGTTTAGGAATAAACCTACTGCAGTGTTATTTATGTACCATTAACAGATACAACCAAAGAAAGCAAATATATCGTCTCAATTTTCCAACACAAGACAGACTTTATATTGCTTTGTTGATCCTAAACCACAAACAAAATAAAAAAAAAAAATCAATTGCTACAGGGCAAGAGACAGAAGCAACACAAAGACTTTTACTGCCCTACTATGAAAACCTGCTTGAAGCATGATGTCCTGAATAACAGCGTACGGTTTCACCTGGAGGCACAGAGACAGCTCTGCAACCAAAGTGCTCCTTGGAGCAGGGAGATGAAGCTGAGCACATACAAGCTAGAAGTTTTATGCGTTCCTCAGCAGAAGGTCATGTTCGGCCATCACCCACAGGCCACCAGACTCACGAGCAGGTCAGGTTTCAGCCACAAATTGGCACTGCCAACTCAGAGCACAACTTCTGAGCCATTAGCGCCTGGCAGAAATCACTAACCAAGTGAAAACTGAAAGGGGCCTAAAGGGAACACCGTGTAGAAGGCCCAGCAGGTGAGAGCATTACAGACACCAGGGATCGCACCAGATCATGCCCAAAACATCTCCATTTATGCTTAAGTGAAACAGTTAGATGGCACGATCCCCTGCCTGATGCGGCCGCAGAAGCCCTTCACAGTAGGACCGCTGGGAACTCCTCCTCTGCTGCCGTCAGAATCAGTGAAGAGTGAAATGTTTCTCACAAACGCAAGAGGAACAAACGGGCTGTACCGCAGGATGGCAGGAGGGAGAGTGAGCCTCCTCAAGTCACTGAAACGTTGAACAGACATTTTGTTCTAACAAATGACATCATTGTCTACGTTCCCCTTGCTGCACAGACTAGACATAGGTAGGATCAGCTCATTACTCACCGTGTAAAGCTCGTTGGTGACTTTCAGGAGTTCTTCATGCATCTGTAAGCCAATCTCCTTACTCTGGAAGACAAAAGAAGAGTTGAGACTGTGTTATGCTCAGAACACGCATTTCTGAAAGGAAAATACATTTTGGAGGGAAGAGTAAAACTGTATGACTTCCAAATATTCCATGCATATGCATCTTAATCCTTTCTCCAAGCCGCATTCACAAGAGTGGTCTGTGCACGCTGTGGACAGTACTGTGACGGCACTGCCCTACCAGAAGCACATCCTCAGCTGCGGTCAGCAGCAGAAGCACGTTGCCCTCAAGGCCCTGCACAGGTCAAGTGCTGGCAGCACCGGCAGCAGCACACAGACGCTCAGCCCTTGCTCCGAATGCTCCCAGCACACCGTGGCTCCAGAGGACCTCACGCCACTCAAAGGGCAAACTCCGGAGATAGACAGGAGGTGTGGAAAGGAGGAACGGGATCCCTACAAATACCCACTTCTAACTCAGGAAGAAGAAATGAGGTGATGGGTTTTTTCCCGACTATCTGATCAAAGGTATGTATGCAGAAGGTCTCCAATGCTGCCAGAGTACTGCTACAGGACACCATGGCACCAGCAGAAGGAACAGAGTCTGGGGATGCTGGCAAGCTGGTAGGACAGGGAAGCAGTGAATTGTTCTTCTCCTCTTAAACCAAGTGACCAACCTGATCCTGAAGAAGCCAGAAGTACTTGCTCCAGGCCCTTCCACCCCTGTACCTAAGTGGATCCTGATAATCCCCAGCAAAGGCTTTCACATCCATCCACAGAGAACAAAACCATAGCAACCTATTTACGCTGCTGCTATCTAGCTGCATTTTTCACATTGCTCTCATGCCTGTAGGGTTTTTCTATCCTCCTGTCAGCTGACGATGAAGTTGGCGGACCTCGGCAGCACAACTGGCTGTGGGTAATGCCCATCTTAAATACCTTCTGCCCCCTTGAAGATCTGTCCTCTCCTGGCCCCCCTGCCAAACATGAGACTTGCCGTTCTTTGCTCTGCAGTGGAGTTAACAAAACCATGTACGTTTTAATTCTATGTATTATTTTAAAAAATGAAGCAGCCCTGAAGCATGAGAAATGACCCAAGGCCCTTATTTACACCACTTCAGAAACCCTGTCTAATACCCTTCCTGCTCCAGGAGCTGAGAAGACATCATCAACAGGGCTGCCAATCCACATCTGGGCTCCGTTTTTTTTTCATTTCTAAACATTAAAACCAAAACACAGCTGGCCTCCTCTTCCAATCTGCCTGTGACAGTGAAGTTTAAAAGTAAACTAGCATTTTTATTTCCTTTCATTTTCTACAAATCCTTAATAAAATAAAATGCATGATTATAAACATGAACACATACAGTACAGCAAATCCTCATGCCATTTCAGAATTGCTGCCTTTTCATTTGAGGTCGATGTTTGTCCATGGATCACCCAACTTGGGTTTCAGAGACCATGATGAGGAACATCCCACAATTTAATTTATTTATCCTACAAAAACACACAGGGATGAATCTAGAATTACAGACAATCCCACTTTGCCCTTCCACTGGCAGTATTTATCTCCAGCCCACAGTCAACTCACTGTGTGGATCTAACACACAACGCACTCCCCCATTTTGGGGACTTGTTTCACATTAAGACTGGCAGAGTGCACAAAAGCTGGGCCTGCTCTGTAGCCAGAAGTGTTTTATAGCTTGACTTTGCCTATTTTTCAACAAAGCATGCATTACTGCATGTGTGTAAGTGGCCGTTGCATTCTCCATACTAAGCTGGCTCTGTGTTAGTGCTATACTAACTCCCCTGTAAAATTATACAATAAACATTTGCAGGTACATGAATTGCTTAGATTTGCATTCTCTAGTCACACAGTATCACCTGTCAATCTATCTTATAGAACCATAGAATCATTTAGGTTGGAAAGGACCTTTAAGATCATCAAGTCCAACCATTAACCTAACACTCCAACCGTTAACCTAACGCTAATCTTGATTTGATAGATTTATTAATGACACCTTCTGCTGGTCTTGCAATTTCCAATCAACTTTGATATTTCAGAACGCAGATTACCAGGGCTTCCTAGGCACAAGTATTTCAGGTGTTAGGTTCACCTTGACCATGATCCACCCTCCCCATTTTGTCTTCAGTAGCTCATTTTCACTATTCTGACCTGAGTGAACCAAAGTCTCTCTCAAAAAGGACATTTTATTACGAAATAGCTACACCACAGTTATATAATAAAGTTTCCAATTTCATAACCGCAACAGCCAAAGTTCAGCAAGCTTAGGAGAATGCTCACTGTGAGTGTAAAAACTCATGACATCTTCCTCCCTCCACCCCCCTGTCGGATGAAATCCTATTATCAGTTTGTATTTTCACTTTTCTTGCCAAGCAGGATGAAGGAGATCCAGTTACCTACCTCCTACAGCATGAACATGGCATTTCACAGGAGAGGCCACAACTTGGGGAGCTGCTGAACATTTGAGCTTGGCTGCAGACCAAGTCAACTCCTACTCAGAAATCCAGCGGTTGGATGATGCTACTGCAGATGTGCACGCACTGCTTTCCTCCCTCCCTTGTAATTACACCCCACATCTATCTGTAGAATCTTCTTGGCTCGGAAACATTTATTATAGCTTGACAATGTGTTTAAACTAAGTATAGACATCCTCCTCTCCCCCCCCAAAAAACCACCCCAAACCAAAAAAACCAAGCAGTTTCTTTCCAGTTTCTTCAAGTAACTCCATGCATTTTTGTGCACACAGTCAGGGAAAATAACATCCCGTCAGCTTCTTGGCTAGGCAGCTAAAGAAGCCCACGACACAGAGAGGTCTTCTAATTAAAGCTAACTGGACAACCTACATACTTGAGAAGTTTAACCTTATATTATTAAAAGTTAGAATTGAATGCAAAGAGTGAAGCAAGGAATCAAAAGAATAAAAGCACTCTGCATTCAGTGAATATCCAGTGATTATAGTTTATCTGTGAATTAGTGTCAGGGTATTTGGAAGTCTTCAGAAGCACGACTGATGCACACTGCTCCCATTCTTATGTGCGCGAGGTGCCAAGAAGATGCCAGTTACCAGAAGGTGCTAAGTACCCCCAGCCATCTGGAAACCTCGTCTGCTGGAAACCCCAGTCCTTCCCCTCCCCATTGACACCGGCAGTCACTAGCTGGGCTTGAAAACCTCACTGTGCCTTGCTAATAAGCAACAGAGCTATTAAAAGCATGCATCCCTCCCAGATAAAAGGGAACATCCAGAATACGAGTTATTTAAGTCAGAGTCTACAAATGGGGGTCTTGGACCTAGAGGCTTCAAGCCTGCAGGAGTTGAGAGTCACACATAACCCCTCCAGCTGACCCTGCCTGTCATGAGTCAAAGCCCGGGCCCCGAACCAAGCTTTCCCCAAAGTAAAAGGAGGAGGATGGGCTTGTGGTAGGAGCAATGGCCCAAAGTCAGCTCCAGCTCTTGCCTCTGCCCCAGATTTCCTGTGCGGCGGAGGGGGAAGTCCACAAAGCCATAATTTTCAAACCTAATTTTAGACTCCTAAATAGAGCAACAAAAAATGGCTCAGTTGTCAGTAGTGTGTCGTTCCCATGAGTCCCACTGACATGGGGGAACCACAGGTGGGTACTACATTTAAAGACCCATTTTATTATAGACACTGTACACCAAATGCCCTGCATCCTGTTGCTGGAGACCAAAGTGGTCTGTGGCGTCGTCAAAAGTCTCCCAGCATCCAAGAGGGCAGCGTCCAACCTCATGATGCTGGAGCCTCTTCCAAACACAGGCAGGCGAGAAGCTGAAGGACTTGCCTCTCCTCCGAGTTTACTGCCTCCCCTTTTTAGAACAGAGAAATTACTTTTGTGTGTTTATGGGAGACAACGCCAAAATGTCATTCCAATTCCCTGGCAGCATCCAACAAAACCCAAACTCCAATTCAGCCGCTTGCTTTATGCCTTCCATTCCTG